TTTAAACCTCCAGGAACAGCCCACAGCCTTTACTATCTCTGTACTGAAACTGTTATTTTCTGTTATTTTAAACCTCCAGGAACAGCCCACAGCCTTTACTATCTCTGTACTGAAACGGGTTATTTTCAGGTTTAAACCTCCAGGAAATACCCACAGCCTTTACTATCTCTGTATGGAAACGGGTTATTTTCAGGTTTAAACCTCCAGGAACAGCCCACAGCCTTTACTATCTCTGTATTGAAACGGGTAATTATTAATAATTAATAATAATTAATTAATAATTCGACCCTCCGTAGGTGCTTCCTCTGAGACGGGAGAGTGGTCGGTTTCTGGCCCAGGGGAAACCTTTGTTATGTCCACTGTGTTCCTCTGAACCCGAGAAAAAACCCAACCATGGACGGATGGAAACTTCCTGAATTAGTGGTGAGCTGAGAGGTGTCCATTTCCCCCTGTGATGTTCAGGAAACAGATGTACTGTGCACACACACATATTTAAGTGAGTAACTAGAGCCCAATTCACAATTTATTTATATACATAAACATACATATGTACACACACGAATGTGTATATATACTGTATATATATATATATATATGTATATGTATATAGTTTAAAAACATCCCATCTCGTTCGTTTTTCCTTCTCTTTATCACTGCTAATAAGAACTTTTTTATTGGACCTTTTTTCTATTCTAATAAGGCTCTGATTGACATTGACCTCCATAATCCCGGTTTGGAGTTTGATCAAAAGCAGAATCTCAGCCTGTTGAGAGGAGGTCATATCAAATATGACACAAAAATGCTGCTGTTTTTTTTTTAACAAAGTGAAATAATGATAAATATGATAACCATTTTTCTGGCAGAACCTTTTCAGTGAATCACAAACGTGTGAAGAGAGAAACTCTCTGGATTCAGTTTTCTTTTCATTGGGACTTTTACTCTGAAAGGGAAAAACTGCTTTCAGCTTCCATAAACGAGTTAAGTTATGGTAATTTGGACTGATATCTGACCCACTCAAGAATGTCAAACTTTCTTTTCATATAATGCCGAAAAGGTCTGCTAGCAAAGGGCAGAGTGTGTATTATTCTCTTTTTCCTCTCAGGTTAAATTAAACTTAACATGAGCAGATGGTAGAGGGCAAAATGTGGAAATCCAAATCAAACAAAGTACTTTTTTAATTGAAATAGCACCGTTAAATCAGGAAATCCTGCATTTTCCCCAGTTTTGTTAATTTAAATACAACATGGATGTAAAAATAAATTACTTTATCTGGCAACATAAGCCTATTCGTTCCCTCAAATAGGAACGGGTTTTCTGAGAATAGTATTGGTACGACTTTTGGTATTTCATTGACTGATCACTTCATTGTACCGTAATGTTTCAAAACTGCTCACTATTGTTTTCTCTGTGGGAAATAAATCCTGGATGTAAACCTTTAAGCTTTAAACACATTCCTTTGGTCCGTAATCACAGGAATGGAGTTGAAGGAATGCAGATCGCGTTTTTCAGTGACTTATAATCTAACATTTTATACCGTGTAGGCCTGAAATCCACCGATAAAGAAATAATCACACCAGAGGAAATAAAGCTGCTTTACTCTGAAAAAGCTGTTTCTGTTGCTTGACTGACTCGCCTCAATCTGGAGATTTCATACGTTCTTAGATAACAAAAAGAAGCTAAATTTAAGGAGTGTCTAAGATAAATGTTGGAGTGGTAGAAGTCGTCTTCAGAATGCTCCAAACTTACTGCAGAACTCCTGATCAAAGCTCATTTCATCACCAGTTTCAACTGAAAATGTTTTTAGGCTTTTCGGACATATGAGGAAGCCCAATACTGCTATAAAACTTTATGTAGATCTTGTTTTTAGTTTCTAACTACCCACCATAAAATCTGTATGTGCTTTATTTTTTAACTGTGACTGAAAATAGGATAGATCAATGTCAGGTACCCAGACGCAAAACTTCTTTCGGACAATCAGCTTTCACTCTACAAGGCACCAAAACATGGGATACAGAACTGAAGGGAGAGTTAAACTGGGTCCTTTTTAAACATAAACTTAAAGGCTTTTTATTGAGAGGTCAGACATTATTAATCTAACTGACCTGATCTTGTATCTGTGATGTTTTAGTGTGTGGTTTGTTCTGTTGTGTGCAGTCACTGTGTTTTGTGTAAAAGCCTAACTGGGGACAGGCGTTGAGAATTAGCTTTAGCTAAAAATGTTGTAGTGTGTGACACGTTTCATGAAACATACTTGTCCCTATCAAATAAACGAATAAATAAAAAAGAATAAAAATGTGCTGCAGTCTAAAAGTGCTGATCCATCTCCTGTTCACACACTTTTGGAAAAACATGCTGCAGATATAAGCACGGATGATTCTGATTAATGCACTCTGTATTCAATAAAAGAAAAAAATACAATTATCCACTGTAATGAATTACTTCTTCATAACTAGAATTTGCTTTGGCAGTTTTTTTTTCTTCTTTTCATTAACATGACAACTCAAACTAAAAATATCTAGCCAACAAAGAAATGCTCAGAGACTGTTTCCATGGTAACGGGTATGCTAATTTGGCTGTCCAGACAGAAAACTAAGAGAAAGAAAAAAAACTTTGAAATCACAATACATTAGACATAAGTTTAATTGAACAAAAGCATTGATATCACACCAAAAATCAGAAATGAGAGAAGATGACTAAGCAGGAACGGTTTCTGTGACTTATTTCTGCTGTGTATGGGCTCATTTTCACAGTTTAACTATTAAAATAAGAAGGTTCATCAGCTCACAGCTTCACTGATAATGACATAGAAGATTATTATTCCAGAGAAATGTAATTTCTCGTGTGTGTTTGGGTTCTGTGGCACATACAGGCCATCCTCCAAACACCAGAAACATCTCCATTTTACACGCTCATTCAGTTGTTTTTGTTTTTTCCTTACTGATGTTTACCTGTGAAATCATTTCCTGGATGTGTTCTCCAGTTTTCATTGGCTTTAGTGATGCCTCCAGAAATCCTGATAACTTATCTGGGAAAAGACTGCCGTAAAAAGTAATAAACAATAGTTCTACACCGGGTAAATATTCTGCTTCTTTTGTTTTAACTTGCTGCACCTTGACTCCTACATTTTTAATCTAACACGCTGATGGGTTTTCTATGGCTGAAAATATTTAAAGCAAGCTCCAGTTGACACTCAATGCCAACAGCCTTTTCTTTCCTTTTTTAAATATTCAGCCAGAAACAAAATAAACAAACATATGAACGGAAGCAGCTTAATGCTAAATCTGGCTGTTTTGATAAAGGTGCTGGTGGGAGATGTCGGATGCCAAAAACAGAGGAAAATATTAATTTATTCTTCTTATTTCCAGGCTTTAGCAGACAGCCTCGTTAATGCAGTGAAACAGTGAAACAGACAAATGAAGCTAAAGTTCATGAGGCTTCACTCTCAGACTGTAACACAGACTTTGCTGATCCGGTATGTTTTACTGGGAAAAGACTGCCGTAAAAAGTAATAAACAATAGTTCTACACCTGGTAAATATCCTGAAGAAAGAGAACAAACGGACGGCTTTAGCAGAACTTTTCTGAGTCTGTTTCCTGCTGACCTTGCACACGTTTGTTTGATTGTCGGTTCATATTTCTCGGTTATTAAAGCCCTCCGTTCAGATTATTGAATTATGCTAACGTAGTATTTCTGCTGGCATCTTTATAGATGGTCTGAAAAGCCACTGCATCCTCTCAGAACTCAACTACACTCCTCAATAATAAGATTTATTTAGATCAATTCCATGTTTTTTCCTCCCGAGGTTTGCTGTTTTGTTTATGTAATAAACTCAGTCACACACTCTTTCACACCCTCACAGGAGGGATTAGCACTGGAAAGCAGGACTTCTGTAGATTATGGAAGAGGAAACGATGGTCGTAAGATTAGGAAAATGATCCCATTCATGTATTTGGCAGAATCACTAGTTTGGTTTTATCTACCCTTCAAGACGCAGCATCTATGATAAACTCATGGTACCACAGAGATCCACACTGTAAAGTCCTATAGGCAAGCAAACCGGTTCATTCAGATCAGTCCTGTCAGAGGATTCACAACTCCAGTTTTTAGCTCAAATCACAACAAATGGCAACTCCAGCATTTTAAAGATGCAAGCCAGTTCAGTCTGGTTCAAAACCAATTCATTGTGATACAATGATAACTCATCAGTCGTCATTCTGGTGCATCAAATTCAGTTGAAGAAAACCTCTTACAGGAAATCAAAGTAAAAAATAAAACGCTTTCCCAACAAACGAGGAAATGTCGCCAAATCTTGAGTTTGATCCTCCTGAGTGTAAAAGAATAAACTCCCTAATGGGAGGAAACCTCCATCAGAGGTGATGTAATTAAATGGTATGGTAATTAAAATGGCCGACTTCGATGTGGGCGGAGTCGGATATGTACTTGATTAATGTTGGCATGTTATTATTAGCCATTAGCATCAGCTAGCAGTTCAAGGCTAACGTCTTGTTAATAATAATAAACAACGTAAATAAATACATAAATAAATCAGAGAGAAGGGTGGTATCGGTACTTTTGAAAATGAGTATCGTATCCGAATACAACATTTTAGTATCGATAATTTAGACAACCCCAGTCCCTGCTTCCCCACAGAGAGAGGGGCTGAAACCTGAGGGCTCTGGGTCCCATTCTGCTTTACTAACCGAGGCAAAATGGCAAAGTGTTCCTCTGGGAAACTAGAACAACCGGTGGGTGATAGGGGAACATCTGTGCGGAGTCGGGGGGGGGGGGGGGGGGGGCTAATCTGGGTCTCAGCAAAGTTAGCACCATTAAATAAGATTAACAAAAGACAGTGGGTTTAATGGTAAGTGAGTGGAAGTTATACTCCCTGCCACCAGGGGGCAGCAGGGATGATGCACCCTCCCTATGTGAGTGGGCGGGGTTTGGTTTTTAAAGGTGATGAACCTTTAACATGTACCTGTGGACCTGGATGCTGGGAAGCTGGTTGTGCTAATAAATAAGTTTCGTTCACTAATGAACCCAAAGTTTCTTCATTAAGATAAGAAACATTACAATTAGAAAGTGGGGGAAGGAGGTTTAAAAGATGGAGCAGGTCCTGTGTCGGCACGGCAACAGCCTCCTTTAGACCAATCACAGGATTACACAATTTATCTGAAAAACCTTTGGTTTGTTTGTTTTACAGTGGGGGAAATAAGTATTTGAGCCCTTGCTGATTTTGCAGGTTTGCCCACTTACAAAGAATGCTTATTTTTCCTCATCAGATGGTTATCAATTTTTATAAATTCATATGATGTGATTTTCTGGAATTTTCTTTGGGATTCTGTCTTTCACTGTTAGAATGTACATATGATTAAAGTTATAGATCGTTGCATTCTTTGTAAGTGGGCAAACCTGCAAAATCAGCAAGGGCTCAAATACTTATTTCCCCCACTGTATATAAGAGGATTTTATTGTGTTTCTTTTTTCTAAACCCTGTATTGTATTATATCTCTCATGAGTTCCACCCAGACACTCAGGCTTTGGAGAGCGTGAGCAGAAACCCTCTGAGTTCGACTGATGAATTATTCTGAGTAGCAGCGATGACATGTCGTAGCCTCGCCGGCTGCTTTTGATACGAGGAGAACAGGGTGTTATTACATAGAATATTTACTACGCTATTAGCGGGAGCCGGTGCTGTGACTGAGCACCGGCATTTCCATACAGATTGCATTTGTTTCCGCTCTGCAGAGTAATGAGCATTTCTGTTACCGATAACGGGACAGAGTTCAGCTCCAGCTCCAGTAGGGCCCGTAATCCTGCTGTTCCACACTCCCACCACCAGGGGGCGCTCAGCCCTGGGCCCCCAGTGGCTGCCAGACTAAACCTGACTCCTGGTTCTGGATCCGAGTTTAAACACAAAGCAGTCACACTGGTTTTTTTTACCTTCCTTTTGCAGTTTAGGCCCACAGAAAAGGATCTTAGATCTCAGGTCAGGATAATCAAGAGGTTATTAACAAACAGGAACATCCATCCATCCATTATCAATACCGCTTATACCCTAATGGGGTCGGGGGGCGGAGCCTATCCCAGTAGCCAATGGGGAGAGGCGGGGTCCCCCTGGACGGTCCCCAGTCCATCGAGGGCCAGGTGTGAAACAGTAGAAACTAAACCGAGACCAGAAAATGAGCAACGTCAGATCCACAAATGAACGATTACCTTCCTTAGAAAATCCCCCAGCTTTTCAAAGCAAAAAAACTTAAAAACAAACAAACCGGCAGTACCAAAGCATTCTCCAAAACTCTAAAAGTGTAAGTTTCTGCAAACGTATGTGGAATGTTTTAAATGAAACAGAGATCGGCTCGTATTTAATGTGATTTACACTAGGTCTGGTTTCCTTTTACTGCCCAGGCACAGGTGTTTAGTGTTTAGTCACTTTAATAAGATACGAATGCCCCAACTGTGCTGTTATCATGTGTGGAATGGCCTTAAAGTCAGAACATATTCCTGTCACAGGAATTTGAAATAATCCTTTTTTTTAAATCGGGCACTTTGCAAAGTAATTCCGCGGACGTGTTCATTTAATGAGCTTTAGAAAAGTCTGGTGTGTGGGCAGCTCATTAATTCAACTGGAGGAATGTTCACTCCCCCGATGTGACAGGAAGGAAATGTTTTTTGGTTATTCAGTTGCAAATTAAAAAAAAAATATTTCCACACTCTGCAGATGAGACAAATATCTTAGATCATTTTTTGATCAATTGCTCCTCCAGGCTGTTGTAAAACTCTTTCCAGACTCTTGGAGGTGTGATGGTCGCCATATAGATTGTGTAATTTTGCTTGTTTGCTTGTTTTTGTTTGTACTGAAGACAAAAGCTTTAAAGCATCTCATCGTTTCAGTGATTTGTCTTTGCATAACTGTGAACATCAAACATTTTTGCTCCACATTAAAGTCCTACAGCAAGTTCTGAGGGCTTTACTGGCCTCTAACGTCTCCCTATGACCTCCAGTCTCCCCAAAAATGGGACTATTTCTCTGAAGTTTCACACATATTTGATTGCAGAATAAGGAGTTCCTGTTACCTCTCTGATGTGTCAGATAGGGAAGGGTCGAGTTCCTGCATGTTTCCATCTGCCCTGAAAAAGAACTGAGAATATAGATGGTGATTTTAAACTGGTGCATACTGTTCAGGTCTGGAGTTTCCTCCTCCTGCTTTTGTCTTTCTCCCTCATGGCATGGAGAAATAGCTGATCATCTGTTTGTTTCCATTCCAGAAACAAAACTCTGTACATGCATACAGAATGGAACAACAAACAATTTGTTGCTGTGATACAGAGTGATGCCACTGAACTAATAAAAGCAAAACCAAACAATTAAGCTGGTCCTGGTTCAGCCATTTTACATCCATGAGTTGAGGACCATTTTTCTATAGAAATTAAAAACTTGTGGAAACTTTTATTACACACTTGTGTGAATATGGTTCTGTTACTACTCATCTAACTGAAGTCGGCAATTGATTTCTACCTGGTGGACAAACCAAACTAGTTTAACCAGAACAAATTCTTGTTTGGAGACCATCATAGATGATGCGATGAGCAGAATAAATTGCCGTGAAAGTGCACGACAACAAAGACTGAATCACCCTGATCTGTGTCGGAGCTGGTGAGTTGGGAATTCTCCTGGAAATCAGAGAAAACGGAGTCAGCTACAGGGACAGAAAACGTTCTGGCTAACGGGTAGAGGACTCTGGTTCTGCTGTGATGAGCTTGATGCTTCATAAAGGAGCTGATGGATCCATAACTCGGTGAAAGCAGAAGAACTCTGTATGAGAAAGAGGAAGAACTCCCTCCAGACTCTGGAGTTTCTCTGGAGTGAAGCTCTTCTCTGTGCTTTTAACTGCTGAAGCGTGTTTCCAATTTTTCCAGGAGACTATTAGCACTCAGACTCAATTACGCGCTCCTTAATGGATGTTGACACTGAATCTAAAACTCTTTGAAACCCGGGAAGCTGAACACTTCAGAAGACTCCCGCCTGACCCAAAGCCCAGGAGTTAGGGGGGTGAAGCCTGAAGTGGTGACAGAAACTGGTATTCAGATTGGCATGGGCTGACTTCACATCCACCTAAACCACCTCTTTGCTGCTGCCTTTGTTTTTGATTGACTTTTTCTTTTCAAAACTAGACAGAAGACCCACCCACGTCTCACCCGGTGGGACGAACTGGTATTCACCTCTAATGTGGCATGTAAGATAAGATAGATAAGATAAGATAAGATAAGATCAGATCAGATCAGATCAGATCAGATAAGATAAGATAAGATAAGATAAGATAAGAGCTTTATTGGTCTCACAGTGGAGAAATTCACTGGTCACACATCGGTTAGAGTTCAAAAGGAGGAAAAGGTGCATAAAGTACAAACAGCAAAAACAAACAAATATACAAGGAAGCAACACAGCGCAGAGGTTTGACTGAATAACATATATACAATGAGGCATGTAGGGTCTCATTTTTTAAAATGATCTCATTTTGCTGAACGTTCAGCTCCGGACTGACAGGAAATGACCTGAACTTCAGAAGTTCAGTCTGAAACGTGTAACACTTTTGCTCACACTTCAGATTTATGTCGCTGTCAGAGTGTTTCAGGGAGAACCGGATTCACACTTTGAACAGAAACTGGTTTTCTTTAGCTGATTCTGCAAATAACGACGGGAGTTTAACTAGTTGCTGTTTTGTTGGCAGAAAAATGTCCGGTGATTTGTTAACTGAGGGATGTGAATGGAGATTAATATACTTTATTTCAAAAACAAAATAAAATAATACTTTATCTGAGAAAAAAGATCAAATGTTTGTAATTGTTGTGGTACTTGCTCGCTAATGTGATAAAATCAAAACCAGGTTTGTGCTCCCGTTTGGTCACATGATGTCGGGTCTTTTCTTGCATTTCCACAAAGGCAAAAATGTGAGATTTTCCACAAATGTCTCGTTTCATACATGAACTTTGTTCATCTATGCTTGATGTTCTCTATTTCCTCCAGGAGTATCACAGATTCTTGTCTTTACAGGCTAAAACTTTGTATGATTATCAAACACAGATGAACCTCCTGTCTGTTTCTGCTTATTATGAGCTCTAACGGTGTAAAACCATCAGAACACGCGTGTTGGAAAGGTTAAAATCTCTATCTTTCCCCAGAGGCCGTTGTTAGGGAAATCACTTTCTTAATTTCTCTCTGGTAACTTTCCACAAGTGAATATTTTAAAGGTTCTTTTTCTTTCCCATGGGACTCATTCCTCCTTCTAGAATCAGAATCAGAATTCAGAGAGAGTCTCCTTATACTTTAACACTCCATTAACACACGTTCTGATTGCTTTCTGTTTCCCACTGACGGAGCCCATTCTGCAGGCAGAGATCTGACCAGCATTTAAGCATAAATTCCCAGGGATCAGAGAGTTTCATTCCCCTGGAGTAACTATTCTGTCTCCATCAACCCGTTACCTTCCACTAGGGGTGGGACGGTTCACAAAACCCACGGTTTGGTTCGGTTCACGGTTTCGTGGTCACGGTTTTGGGTTCGGTTCGGTATGTGTTGATTGTTAGGAAAATCTATTCTGTCTTGTATAGTCAGGTTAAAACTGAAAGAAAAAAGCAGTCTGACATTTGATCCATTATTGTGACAGTCTGAGGTTAACCCTTTAAAGCCCGATCCAAGAATAAAACAAAACAGAAAAATTACTTTTTTTTGTCTTAAGTCTTTACTTGGCCTTTTAACAAACTACGTATTAAAATTTTTTTTTTTTTATGTTAATAATTTATTACTATGCGATAAGTCCAGATTATTTTTGTGTATCTTCTGCCCCCTGTTATCAGGTGTATCTGATTGTGTTCAATAGGATTTAGAGCAAAGTTTTTACCATTAAATTATGCAAAAGGAGTCAAACGCAAAACATTTCAGTTTTCATTTCAATTTTCTAAACCTTCTTCCAAGAGTTAAATTACATTAAACCTTAAACTCACGATCCAATTAGATTAGTTCTCTCTGTTTAGTCAGGTTTGTCCTGTCTCTATTTATTTAACTTTTTATCTCTGTCCATGTTCTGTAGGACATTCAGAAATAAAAGTTAAACATAAATAAAAGCAGATGCAAAAACAAGTGGTAAAATCTGTGGACTTCCTTCACAGAATGATTTCAAACACGGGAAAGTGTACGAAAAAGTGATAACAAGTTATTTTGGGATGCAAATCAAGTTTTCAGAGTCACAAATGCGTTCTTTTACTCTAAATCACCATGGCAACTTAAGCCAAAGTCACAAACGCACCCACACAGTTTTCACCCTCATTAGCATGAGACTTGAATAATGTTTTAAAAAGAAACCACCAAAGCTCCAATAAACTATTTTCTCAGCCAACAGAAACATCTTTTTTCTCGGGTTCTTATCAATCCGTTGATTTTCTGACAAGATCTATGACAAGAAGGTTCTAGATATTATTTCAGAAAAGAGATTTAGATTATGACAATCCAAAAAAGGCTTGTTGTACGTATAGAAAAAGTGTCATTTGCATTAAAAACTTGCTCTGAAGTAATAAATGTCAGACCACTGCATCTGCAATAGAATTAATTATGACACAAGTTCAACATAAAACACTTTTAAAAAATATCTCCTGACAGATTATCTATATTTTCATAATGGCAAAAAAAAAAGGATCTTTAAATAATGACACATTTGTCAGATTTGTCAGCACATACAGCGGGGGAAATAAGTACTTGAGCCCTTGCTGATTTTGCAGGTTTGCCCACTTACAAAGAATGCAACGATCTATAACTTTAATCATATGTACATTCTAACAGTGAAAGACAGAATCCCAAAGAAAATTCCAGAAAATCACATCATATGAGTTTATAAAAATTGATAACCATCTGATGAGGAAAAATAAGCATTCTTTG